AAATAACTGAAGTGACTGTAAAGACCTTCATAATAAATTTATTTGAAACATTTAAAATTGTGTTTTATAATTCAATTACTCTGGTTAATTCCCACATTTCCAAGCTGGGTAACAGTGTTAATGAAGTGAATGGAGAATAAGGACCAGGTCAACTAGCAAACAGTGAGTGTAACCCAAGTGAGACATCAATCATCCCCCATGGGGAAAATCCATTTATCTTAGGTATTATTTTACATTATTATCATTATTATTTCCACTATTTCCCATGTGGCGGCAAAGAGCCTGTGAGGTCCATCTGATATTTTTTTTTCCACAGCTTTGTCTGTCCTCGTTTTTCATTTGACTCCCACACGTAGTAAGAATTCACTCTTACGATGCACTTGTGCCTCAGTGTCACTTTCCGCATGCACATCGTTTCCGGCTTTCTCTCACCTACAGATTCATAGAATTTCGGGTGTATTCTCTCTCTTGCAGCTGTTCCTCCGTACAGTTCTCTCTGGGATTTCCCACTATTTCCATAACTCAGTTGGATATACGTTGAATTGAATCATGCCCGCGCTTTCCTATCTAATCTAATATCGTTTATTGTATTATTTGCACAATACGTATCTAATCTCAAAATTGTCATTTAGTCTATGCGCGTATTACCCAACAATTTACTTCAGGAAGAATCAAAGTACTCATTCAGGTACTTGTACCTTCACACTTGCATCCAGTTGCATATGAGTGAGTATGAGGAAGTGCAAAATTTACATTTTTCCCCGAAACCCTTTATAGAGTAGAAGTACGTTTTATACTGATCAGTAGTACCTTTTTATGAGCTCTGCAACCACAGGCGGATGCCATCTCACCTGCCTCTCGTGAAAAAAAAAATGGAAACAACGTGGAAGATGAGAAAGGAACAATTGGTCGTTTCGTTAATTATTTGAAATTGCTGTGGTGAGTGGTGTTATGAGTATAGCTGGGGTTGGGTGTGTCTGCTCAGCCGCTTTCAGTAACCAGAAGGCAAAAATTGCAAAAGCGGACGGTTATTTGGGGTCAGCAGGAAAGCGACGATTCCATCAGTGTATTTAGCCAATTCGAAGGGGACGGATTTTTTTTTTTCGGTGACTCACCATGGAACCGAGGGATTTCAGGGGATGGTCATTATGGAAAAGAAAGAAAAGCGTGAAACCTGCATATTTTTTGTAGATCTCATTTTTCCTGGAAATTTTATGAGGCTCCAGGTCACTGACCGGAAATGATTTTAGGGCGGTTTAATGTTATTATCATGTATTTTCGAGTCTTTTGTTAAGGTGGAAATTTGCACCTCAAAACCACAATGTCGAGCAACGTCCTGTGAGTAAGTTTGGACTAGATCGTGGCCCATAAATACGAAATTCCAAAACAATAACGGCGACGAGGAGAAGAGGAAAGAATCGGCGGAAGAAAAGGAAGAAAAAAGGAAAGATTCTTGTTTACAATCAAGATGCACACCTCGTAACCTTAACAAAAACCAGTCTAATCAATTTGGCATGTGAAAACAGGGCAACCCTCAATTTTTATTTTCTTCTTGACTTTTCTTCCATAATTGCCTCAAATTTCTAGGAAACATGAATTAATTGAAAACAAAATATTTTCTTGGCATTAACCCATTTTTGTTCTTCCGTGGACGATGTGAAAAAAAAAGAAAGGAAGGAAAAAAAAATTCATATGGATAATTTCAACAGGTAAAGAATTGGCCACCACGTCAGTGTCATTATCGGTGATTCCACAGAAATTTCGTCTTTAGCCCTTTCTTTGGCTATCGGCATTAGAATTATTACACGCCCAAAATACCGAGGGTTCATAATAACAACACTGACCGAGGATTGAGAAGCGAACTGTATCTGAGGGCAGGTGGTGTGGCATAATATAAGAAGAGTCCGATGAAGGTTTCTGCGCAAAGGTGCATGAGCGAGGGCACGCCGAGAAAAAAAGAAAAAAAAAAGCGGAGAAATGAAAGAGTGAGTGGGATGTAAAAGATTCGATGAATCCCCATGACTCTACTTATACCCGCGAATTCAGCGATCCTTTTCGATGATAATGGCGCCGAGGGAGACGCGTGCCAGCTGGTAATGCTTTCGGGGCTTGATTTTTATTCGCCTACAGGACTAAGGTATATATACACTCCGCCAAACATATAAGCCCAAGAGGAGCAGATGCACTCGTCTCTCCTTTAAGATCTCCCCTTCGTTCTTTATTTCTTTTTCCTTTTTTTTTCAAAGAGAAAGCCAATGTCTTCTGCTCTCATTCCTCTCTTCGTATACATCAGGACACCCATTATATTAGAGACGCAAGCCGCGTGCCGGCACAGATTTTGGGCAACCTCTGAGTACGTTATCGTTCGTTGAAATGTACTTTTTCCTTTATGGGGATATTTATTTTTTGCATTGTTAAACTTCATTTTGAGTATTTGGAATTTGAGTGCACGTTATTGTTTTATCGAACCTAGACTTTCTGTTGCTGTCATATCCATTGACTTTCGGAATATTATAGTATCTACGTCAAACACTGAGATTTCGAAGAAGTTGACTCCATTCGATGAACATTTAATCGCTTCTTTGCAATCTTTTATATGCACTGCTAATATTTACCTATCTGAAAATGTTTGCATTTTAGTGATAGCAAATGACGCAAGTGAAATACGATCGTGGATGAAGGGATCGGTTTTTCTCTGAAGAAATTTTGACGTTGGTAGAAAAACTTACGTCCCCAACGGAAGTTAAGGCTCCCGTTCCAGCATTCTACCGACGAAAATTTTCGATAATCATTTGAGCGATTTTTCACAAAATCGTGTTGGATCACTTCAGGAAAGATATATACCAAAAATTGCGCCTCGAAGGCCTGGAGTGAACCGGATGTTGTCGCCATTGTAAACCGCTTCTGCATCTATTTATCGTCGTGGAAAAAACAAAAAATAAAAAAAAACCCTCGCAGGCATACATACGTGATTCAATCTTTTTTTTACGGGTATATCATGCTGTTGCCCCCATGCACACAGTTGTCGAGTGACGATAGAACGATTTCCTCATGATGCCCGTAATAGACATGACAGCGACGCCAAAATTTATGGTTTCGATTTCATTCATGATTTGCATTTCCGAGGCATGAGGTTTATACTTAAATATGCCATAATAGTGGTATCATCTTTTGGATGCAACTTTTAGCAACTGTTGGAGGACCACTGTATTTCAGGAGAAAAAAATAAATGGCCAGGGGGTGAAGCGAGGAGTGAGAGGGAATGATGTAGATGTTTAATGTTCGTCACGTATCCAATGTATAATGAAAGATGGGGAGAAGCCACGAGTAGGGCCATTCGTCGAATACTAAAAAAGTACGCGAGTCTATCCGCTGAGTCAGGACAAAAGGATTTTTTCATCGTTCAAATACTCCTGCATGGTTATTTTATTTAAAAAATCGCGAGGCAGATGATCTAATCAAAAAAAATGTTCATTACCTATGGTTTCCCAGTTTGGCACAATGCAACTGCAAATATGCTCCTATACTGTTATCTCGTTGAATGGACGCCTTTAAATAAAAAATAAATTACTTATAGTTGAATTGAATTGAAGTTATTGCTCAATGGACAAGGCCACTGCAACACTAAAATCGTGTGATGTCACTTTTTCACACTTTTTTTTTACAACAAAGTCCCGTCCATTTTTTCCTTCCTCTCGGAATGGGTCAATATTATTGGGCAACGTTTTTCTACAGTGAGGAAAAGATTCAATATTTGGTATAGTACTTGGTGGATGCATCAGGTAGAAGATACACCTCTACCTGCCCTATTTGAAATTCAACCCGTTGGAGTGGGACGTTATGAGAAGAGATTGGAGCAATAACGTGCTATAGAAGAACATGAAATCTGATACTCAACATCGTGTTTTTGTATGATTCATCAAATTGTGAATCTCTATTCTATATTCTGGAACAATTTGATTGATTGGGCAGAGAACCGCTTTATTCTTGCAATCCCATTCACTCGTTAGAAGAAAGGGGGGTTTTCTTTTGTATTGGTGTTAGTTTTTTTAAAAAAAACCCTGAAAACCTGAAACCGTCTTGACATGCAAAAAAACCAACTACATTTCGGAGCCAACCACAACGGCTCAAATAAATTTCAGTAATAATGATGCTTTTTCACAATTCATTAGCCTCAGTCGCGATTAAATTTATATAATTGAAAAGTCGGTCAGACATCCGTGAAAAGTGAAGCCTCCTTGAGATACAGAAAAATTTGGATGTTGTAGAAAAAATTATGATTTTTCTCCTATTAAATAGGAAGGTTTGTGAGCCTGCTTACGTATACACAATAATAGTGTTGATCTCGTATAGTAAAACTGGCATACACGCGAGGACACGCAAGGCGAATTGATCGTATAGAAGGCAGGTGCTGAGACCGACAGCTGCTGATACTTGCGATCTTCCTTTGCCGAAAGAAAAAGACTTTAACCCGCGCGTACCCTGCAGTCCTTGTTCCTCTCCTTTATTCATTATATTTATTATTTTTTTGCTTATT